TAAATATGTTTGTAAGCCTTGTGGCAAAGACATAGATAGATAGAAAAAAAAAAAGTTTTTTTTTAAGAATATAACCAGAGTTCTCTCCATTTGCCTTGTGCGCAAGATTGTTTATCTTTGCTCGTGAGTTCGAGTTGTTACCGTCCGAAGAACGATATCTTCCCCTTCGTCTACTAGAACGATATCTAGTCATTCATTCTATTACAATGCTGCGTCAAGTGGTATCAGAGCGAGGTCCTCCCTTGTCTCAATGGCCAACGACGGTGAGACTTCACCAAAATCTAACAATGAAGCTGTGTGGGGTGCAATTGAGAGGCAACAACAGCAGTTGGACCAGATTCTTGGTTTTCTCAATAGATTGAATCTCAACGCCGAGAGAGCAACAACAGAGGATCCTATTGCACCTCGCGGCCAGCATGTTCGTGAACCAAGGGTAGGCAACAATCCTGGACGCTTAGGGGTTCCTCCTAAGCGTGCTGTAAACAACCCAGTTTACGATGGTGATTCAACAGATGATGATCTTGAGCAGATCGCAATGTACGAGAAGCCTAGAGAAGTTGTTCGGTATAACAACAATAACTACCGTATGAGGATGGACCTCTCTTCCTTCAATGGGCAGTTAAACATCGAAGATTTTCTGGATTGGTTGAATGAAGTAGAATGGTTCTTCGATTACATGGATATCGAAGAAGAGAAGAAGGTTAAACTTGTTGCGTACAAACTGAAAAGCGGTGCTTCTACATGGTGGGAGCAATTGCAATTGTCTAGGATGCGACAAGGCAAGAGTAAGATTCGGGCTTGGCACCGAATGAAGCAATTGATGAGAGCACGTTTTCTTCCTCCAGATTATGATTAGGTTCTGTTCCATCAATACCAACGATGCCAACAAGGTGCCAGATCAGTCCATGAGTATTCTGCTAAGTTTCCCGTAACGACTTACCGGAAATAGAAGGACAATTGGTGGCGCGATTTGTGGATGGATTGCGTACAAATCTATAGGATGTGGTTAACATGCAACCGGTTCATACATTGCTGGATGCCATTCAATTGGCAACAAGGGCCAAATTGCAATTAGCCAGAAGAATGGGTTTTCGAAATCAGCCCTCTACCAGGACAGTCATGCCTTCACCAGTACAAAATCAGTCCGAGCAGGGTAAAGGAAAAGCAGTCACTGAAGCGGGTCAGAGTCAAGCTTCTCAGAATCAGAACAAGGCCCCATGGAAAGGTCAGTCTCATACAAAGTCGAGTACAAGTAGTTCAAGAACACAAAGTGACCCTTACGCTCCATCACGAAGTGATATGTGTTACCGTTGTGGAGAAGTTGGACACTATTCTAATCGTTGTCCCTAGCGACGTACTGCCAACGTAGTTGAGCATGAGGAAGAAGAAGGCAGACAAGAGGAGGAGAATTTCGAAGAAGAAGATCTAGCAGAATGGACCCATAAAGATGAGGGTGTATCGCTTGTTGTACAGCGTTTGATGTACACACCATGGAAAGAGGATGTTCAGAGGCACAATATCTTTAAAACTCGTTGTACCGTCAACCAGTGAGTCTGTGATTTGATTATTGATGGAGGTAGCAGTGAAAATATCGTGTCAAGGACTGTGGTTGATAAGTTGAATCTTCCAACAAAGAAACATCCGTCTCCTTATAGTGTTGGCTGGATCACAGATGTCGATGAAACAAAAGTAACAGAACAATCTGTTATTCCTTTCTCTATTGGGCCAAATTATAGAGATGAGATTTTGTGCGATGCGGTCGACATGAATGCTTGTCATATGTTGTTGGGTAGGCCGTGGCAGTTTGATTTGAACACTGTGCATAGGGGAAAGGAGAATATTTACACCTTTTACAAGGATAAAGTAAAAGTTGTCTTGGCTCTTATGAGGCGTGAAATTCGAGTAACAGCCTCTCCAACCAATGCTGAATATTTCCTTATAATACCAGATTTTATAAAAGAAGTCAAGGAAACGCAGTTGGTTTATGCTTTAGTGGTCAAGGGTGAAAAACAAAAAAAAATTATCATTGCGATACCAAAGCGAGTTAAGCCATTAATTACCGAGTTTCAAGAACTTGCGCCAGACGAGTTGCCAGCAGGGTTACCTCCTATGCGGAACATCCAGCATGAGATTGATTTTGTTCCCGGAGCAAGTTTATCGAACCTGCCACATTAAAGAATGAGTCCGAAAGAGTTTCAGATTTTGCAGGACCAGGTTAATGATTTGCTCCAAAAAGGTCTAATTAGAGAGAGTATGAGTCCATGTGCAGTGCCAGCCTTGCTAACTCCGAAGAAATATGGAAGTTGGACGATGTGCATTGACAGTAGAGCCATCAACAAGATCACGGTAAAGCACAGATTTCCTATACCAAGGTTAAATGATATGTTGGATAAATTGAATGGTTTGAAAGTATTTTCAAAGATCGATTTGAAAAGTGGTTACCATCAGATTCGTATCCGCCCCGGTGATGAGTGGAAAACAGCATTCAAGACAAGAGAAGGGTTGTATGAGTGGCTTGTTATGCCATTCGAATTGTCTAACGCGCCGAGTACATTCATGCGATTAATGAATCAAGTATTCCAGCCTCTTGGAAAGTTCGTAGTTGTCTATTTCGATGATATCCTTATTTATAGTCATGATGAAGAAGAGCATATGCAACACTTGATGAAAGTTTTCAATGTTTTGCATGAGAACAATTTATATGTGAATTTAAAGAAGTGCAGTTTTTTGACAGACAACTTGATCTTCCTGGGCTATGTTGTGAGTGCCAAAGGGATCAAGGTTGATGAGGCTAAGGTTAAAGCCATTCGAGAGTGGCCAACCCCAAAGTCCATTACTGACGTACGCAACTTTCATGGTTTGGCAACTTTTTATAGACGTTTTGTGCGGAATTTCAGTACCATTGCTGCCCCACTCACAGATTGCATAAAGCATAAGCAATTTGTGTGGACTGATGCTGTAGAACAGAACTTTGCGGTTTTGAAATAGAGGTTGACCACAACACCGGTTTTAGCCATGCTGGACTTTGATAAAGTGCTTGAGGTTGATTATGATGCTTCCGGTATTGGCATTGGAGCTGTTCTTTCTCAAGAAGGCCGACCCATAGCCTTCTTCAACGAGAAACTTAGTGATGCTCGACAGAAGTGGACAACGTATGAGCAAGAGCTGTATGCAGTAGTACGAAGTTTGTACCATTGGGAGCCATATCTGATTCAACGGGAATTTGTGTTAAATAGTGATCACCAAGCTCTCAAATATCTTCAGAATGCTACTAAGCCAAACCGAATGCATACCAGGTGGATTGCTTATATACAAAAGTTTACCTTTTCTCTTAAGCACAAATCTGGTGAATTAAATAAAGTAGCTGATGCGTTGAGTCGACGAGCTTCTTTACTTATCATTGCGAAAAATGAGATTTCTGGTTTTGAATATTTGAAAGAGCTTTATGCTGATGATGAGGATTTTAAAGATGCATGGGCTCAGTGCAATTCAGGTTTTCAAGAATCTAGCAAATACCTGCTACTTGAGGGATTTTTATTCTTCGATGATCGTCTTTGTATTCCTCGTGGGTCTTTGCGAGAGCACATTATACGAGAAACTCATGGTGGAGGCTTGGGAGGGCACTTGGGGCGAGACAAGAACATCGCTATGGTCGAATCTCGATATTATTGGCCTCAGTTGAAAAGAGATGTGGAGAGGTATGTGAAGCGTTGTTACACATGTCAGACTGTGAAGGGTCAAGCACAAAATACTGGATTATATACGCCTCTTTCTATTCCAGAATTTTCTTGGGAGGATCTGTCCATGGATTTTGTTCTCGGTCTTCTGCGAACACAGCGTGGTGCAGATTCTATTTTTGTTGTTGTTGATAGGTTTTCGAAGATGGCGCATTTTATTCCTTGCAGGAAAACACATGATGCCAACAATATTGCTCAACTATTCTTTCGCGAGGTAGTTCGTCTCCATGGTGTGCCAAAGTTTATAGTTTCCGATCGCGATAGCAAGTTTCTGAGTTATTTTTGGAAGTCTCTTTGGAAGCGGCTAGATACAACTTTGCAGTATAGTACTATTTGTCATCCCCAAACCGATGGTCAAACAGAGGTAGTGAATCGTACATTGGGAAATATTTTGCGGAGTTTGTGTCAAGAAAGTCCAAGGTAGTGGGATTTTGTTATTTCTCAAGCGGAGTTTGCTTATAACAATGTGCCAAACCGTTCGACTGGAAAGTCTCCGTTCGAGATTGTTTATGTTCGATCCCCGCTGCATACCTTAGATTTGGTTCCTTTTCCCAAGCTTCCAAGAATGAGTATCATTGCTAATCATATGGTGGAAAAGGTGGCCAACATTCATGCAGATGTTCGAAAGAAATTGGAAGAATCAACTGCGAAGTATAAAACTGCCGCAGATGTACATCGACAAGTGAAAACTTTTGAAGTTGGTGATATGGTAATGGTTCACTTGCGCAAAGAGAGGTTTCCAATGGGCACATACAGTAAGCTTAAACAGAAGAAGATTGGTCCTGTTCGCATTTTGAAGAAGATCAATGATAATGCTTATGTGGTGGATCTTTCAGAAGATTTAGCCATCTCCAAAACTTTCAATGTCCAAGACTTATTTGCGTATCATACGACTCCAGATATCCCAATTCCTCTAGTTAACTCGACGACGAGTTCTTTCAAAGAAGGGGAGGCTGATGCAGAACAGGTTCAAGTTCAAAGGAAAATTAATTAATGGATACATTGGATACACTTCATTCCTTGTATTAATGGATACATTGGATACATTTCATTCCTTGTATTCATGGATACATTGGATTGTATTCATGTCTTTCAAACTCTTCAAGGTCTAAAGGTTAGGTTCTTTGTATTTGATACATTGTATTTGGTACAAGAGTTTAAGGGAGTGTTTTAGTATTTATTTCTGTATTAGGAAATTCACAGTTTGAGTATCTAGTAGTTAGTATAAATATGTTTGTAAGCCCTGTGGCAAAGACATAGACAGATAGAAAAAAAAAGAGTTTTTTTTAAGAATATAACCAGAGTTCTCTCCATTTGCCTTGTGCGCAAGGTTGTTTATCTTTGCTTGTGAATTTGAGTTGTTACCGTCCGAAGAACGATATCTTCCCCTTCGTCTACTAGAACGATATCTAGTCATTCATTCCATTACAACGCCGCGTAAAAAATGCAGACTTTAAGATTGTGTTACCTAAATTTTGTTGCGCATATTAACTGTATAGCATGTGGAAAACCCCTTTTGTGCATCTGACAAATTGATCTGATCTATTTGTTGCTGCGCCTTTTAAAAGAGATAGTAAACAGGAAGATAAGAATGAGATGAACCCAGGCAGTAATGGTTGATTCAACCTGGGGGATGTTAATAGGAACATCATCATCATCATCGACTATCATTTCTCAAATATGCCTTTTACATAGACCATTCCTTTCTCATTCAGCTGTAGTTCCTTTCTCATTTGTTCTACTTGCTGGTCATCTCCTCGTACAATGATCTCTGACAGGGTTCCATCATCTTCTGCCAATATCATTTTAACCTTGATCTGCTCCTTCCTTGATGCCCTTTTCCAGTAATATACTCCTCTGTTTCCATTCCACCCCACAAACATTATTAAATAATTATTCATCTATTATAATGGTCACCCAGTTTCAAATTGAATGAATGCAAAGAGCTAAGCAAAAAAAACAAAAAAACACGGGAGAGGCTGCACTACTTACGCCAGTGGACTTGAGATGGTAAGCCAGAACCAATTATTGCCAAATTGTGGAACAGTGATGGTAAGAACAAGGGCAACACTTGCTAGGCTTATGCAGGTGCAGAAAGTGAGCAATGCTGCTTGGCCTCTGTTTGGAACCATCATACCCTCAAACCTTTACACAAAAGAAAAACATGCATATCAATGAGTTGTAGGAGAGAGAGAGAGAGGGAGTGTGTGCGTGTGTGTGTTTTCACCTGTGATGGCTGGCTACACAATTCGAGTCCTCCTAATTCGGATGAAATTAGAATTCAATCTCAGCTATTTAGTAGTGGAGACAATTACAAAGAATTTAAGTAGTTAAGTTGGTTGGCACCTTATTCAAAAAAAAGTATATTTGTTTTCATAAAAATAAAAATCATGCAGGTGAATGAGGTTGGTTGCATATCCTATTGAAATTCAAAGAGAGCTCCAAAAGTATATTTATGAAAAATTCATCACCTCATTCCTTGAGAAATGCTGTTAAACAAATTAATTTCAGGGAAAAAAAGTAAGTGGACATTATTAGTGTGGGCAAAAAATTTTCATCCTGAATGTCGCTCGTATGACCCAAACCTGTGATTGGATTTGGGGAGGGGGGGGGGGGTTTAAAAATTTGTGATTGGTATACCCTTTTTGTTGTTGAGAGTAACATTCCGGGTTTGAAATTGTGTTGTGTTGTGTTGTGATAATAATGAAATAAAAACAAGAGATGCAGAAAAAGAGAGAAAAATTAGGGATCATGAAAATTTTTTCATGAAAATAATCATGAAAGATTTATGATTCTTGCATTACTTTGATTAGTGTATGTTATTTTATTCTAAGCGTAATTCAAAGGTCACAAAACTTTTATGATTATTTTCATGATACCTACCATTATTGAAAAAGGAAAGAGAGGGAAGGGGTGGGATGGTGTTACTGACGTTATGGTCTCCCTCTCTCCAGTATTTATGACCACAAAATTGTTGCGAGTGAAGAAAGAAAGTATTTCTCCAGCCACCTGATTAGGCATCTTCTTCCCTTCTCCTTCCCCTATGTATGTCTTCTCCACGATCTGATTTCACCCCCAAAACATACATTACACAGCATCAATCATTAACAAAAGCAAAAAATATAAATATAATTTTTTTTAATGAAATGATGCGATTGATTGAATTGATTTGAGACCTTTATTTCAAAACCAAAAAAAAAAAAAAAACCCATAAGATTGCTTTCTTTTAAAATTAAATTAAATATGTAAAAGCCACATAAACCATTTATTTACCCCCCCCCAAAAAAAAGAAAGGAGAAAAGATGGGGAAAAAAGGAATAAAAAAAAAACTAAAGGGGGAAAATATTGAGGATAATTTAGTTTAATTGGGGTAGGAGAGGAGAGAATTAAACCTTAGATTTAACAGAACGCTTGATGAGAGACCAGAGGCCAGGGACAGAGATGACAAAGAGACCAAGGGAAGTGTAGTAGCTGGCCAATGAATATCCTCCGGAGGCAGCAGCGGAATCAGCCAGTAAAAGGAGCGATCTGGAGGAGGATGGGACGGGGACGTGGCTCGTGATCATCGTCATCATCAGGTGATGGACATTAGTAATAGCTGCTGAAGAATCTGAAGAATACGAGAGGGGATCCATGAGAGAGGAGACTGCTACTCCACCAACAATCCTCTTCCTTCTCCTCTTGCTCTTGTTCTTGTTCTTGGTGTTGGTGTTGGGTACTAGAAGAAGAGGGCGTCCCTGTGGCCATGCTGATTGTTGTTGTGGGGCGACTTCTCTGGTTTTGGAATTGGATGGATAACAATAAAAATAAGAAGGGGATAGAGAAGATATAAGGCGTGTTTGTTGTGATACTATTACTTTAGCTGCCGCCGCCATTATTATTAGTCACTCACTTGCCAAGGCTGATACTCTCAGAGAGAGAGAGAGAGACAGAGAGAGACAGAGAGGAGGAGATACTAGTACGCACAGCAACAACAAGCACAGCCAGAGGATGAGCCCCTTCCCCCTTCTAATTTCTATGCACACCATCGTTCTACACTTTTCTTTTACAGAGAACCTTATCTTATCATGGTGTGTGGGTAATTATTCGGTAATCACCCAATATAGACATGTGGTTCTATAGTTTTGTGATTAATAGAAAATGTGATTCTATATTATTGTGATCGGTAGTAAATATGGGTGGGTAAAGAGTCCAAATTCTCAGCCGCCCTCTCTTGCGGTCATTCCTGCAGCGCTCAAAAACGACATCGTTTTGGAACAAAATTTCAATTAATAATAAATAATAAAAAAAATAGAACATGAGCAAACCAGAGTCTCTTTCCTCTCTCTCCTCTTCTCCAAAATCTCTCAAATCTTGAAATCCATCTCTCTCTCCACTGCCTTCTCTTCTTCCCACTCCAAGAAACGGCGAGACCATTCCCGTCCTCCTCTCAGTCAACCAATAATCTCAAAGAACCCCCAATTTTTTTATCAATTAATTTGTTTGTCAACTTCTCAATCATCCCAATTCAAAGGAAATTGATTAAAAAAAAAACCACCTCTTCAAAACTAAACTTAAACTCTAACCCAAGAACCTCCAAGATCAGCTCACACAAATACTCACAAAAAAACCCATCAAAATCATCACAAAGGATTCAGTTTGTTCTGTGAAAATCAAAGTCCTACAACCTTTATGTTTCTACGTTTCTAGGCAATGATAATTCCTCAAACCCACCAACATAATGCTAATCCATATGTATTTACATAGCTTTAGCAAAGTTATGATATTCACCTACTAGTTGTCTTTGAGATGAAAAAAAGAACTAAAAAGTTCTCCAAGTTTACTAGAGAGAGAGAGAGAGAGGGAGGGGGGATCTAGGGAGTCGTAGAAGGCGGCGAAAAGCTAGCGATTTGCAGAAGTGACCCAAAGAAAAAGGAATCTGGATTTGCCGTTGCCTTCCTTCTTTTCCTTTCTTCCTTCCTTCTTCTCCCTCTCTGGTTTGCTCTTGATATATATATATATATATATATTTTTTTTAATTGAAATTTTGCCCCAAAATGACGTTGTTTTGGGGCACCGTAGGAATGTTCACAAGAGAGGGCGGCCGAGGATCTGGACTCGATAGGTAAGGTATTGTCTTGGGTGATTGAGAAACATGAGGGAACATAATGAATGATGATTAGTTTGGGAAGTTAAAAATCGTGTTTTTTTTTTTTGCTAAAATTTATATAAAAAAAATAAAATAAGTTAAAATAGTTAATAAGACAAAATATCATATCAAATTATAATTATTTCACTTTTTTCCTCACAAATATCTAACTACTAGGGATGTAAGAAAAACCGAAAAAACCGACTAAACCAATTGAACCGTGTAACGCCCTCAAAAAAAATACATAAAACCCAACATTTCAGACATGCATTGATACAAAAGAAATCAACCATTTCTATTTATCAGAGTAATTCTTACAACTGTATTACATGTTAACAACAAAAGCAAATGTCCTATGGGCTTACAGCTTTCCAAGTTAACACTTGGTTACAAAAAGAAGAGTACTAACTCAATACATATTAAGCCCTTGGCTAGAATTTACATGTAATACATCAAAATAAACAAAAGAAAGAGTCTTCAACTCTCATTATCATCCAAGCTACGTCATTGGAGGTGGCATACTACCTATACCTGAAAATAATGCCCCATAAAGGGTGAGCCAACGCCCAGTAGAGATATGCTAAGCACAGCATGAGCAATAACTAAGACATTAGCAATTGATAAATGTTCCATTTTCATAAACCAATTCATAACCCATTTCCATCTCATGACCACTACGTTCATGTGTCGTTTCAGTTTCTATTTCTTATCAATTTCACAATTTAAATCAATGGCTCAGAACCTGGCCAACCACTTATATGAGACAGTGACTCATATTAAACATTTCCCATTATCACAATAGATAAACATACTAGTTGTATCAACATCTCAACAGGTAAGCATATAAGCTGTACCCACATTTCAACAGATATGCATATTAGCTATATCAACACTTCTAATGACAAGCATATGAGCTGTATCAACATTTTCAAGGATAAGCATATGAGCTATATCAACACATTATCTGACAAGCATATGAGCTGTATCAGTGGAGTCCATCCCCTATCTCCTCTCAAACAACATCCGGTTTAGAGGTCCATCCCCTATCTTCCCCTAAACCGTGGAGTACATCCCCTATCTCCTCCTACACACACAATGCATATATACACAAAGGTCATATGCACAATCAATCAATACATAATGTTAATATATTCTATCAACCCTCATATTCTATGACATATCCAATTGATTAGTTTTAGTTTGCCTAATTATCATGCATTGTCTACAACAATCAAAACTACCATCCACCGGTAGCCCAAGCAATTATTTCTAAACAGATAATAAAAGCTCCAACAGATAAAATACCAATGTTTTCAAAAGTGAGCGATTTATAAATCCAACTCCATCATTTCACAACATAATGAGCCAATTTCATTATTTCCAACTTAATTCCATAAGTTCACAATTTTCCCAAATTAATTATACCAATTAATTTTAAACAACAAATTAGGGCTTTTACCCCCAACTCTCGATATTAACCCAAAGGTTCCAATATCACCAACCAACAACAACATCATCATTTTGAAACCCAAAATACATATTATGAGCCCAAAATCACAAAACCCTCTTTAACACATTTTGAAACCCTAAGTCCCAAAATCAACCAATTCACCATTTCATCAAAACAACTAAAAATCTAAGTCAAAGACCATAAGAGTGAGTAGGAACCCCTACCTCAAAAGATGACACCCAACGATTATTTCAATCTTAATCGAGAGCACTTGATAAATATTTTGGTAGCAAGAAACAAGTAGATTTGTTTGCTTCACATTGCTAGAACATTTCATTGATTAGATTTGTTGATTAATTAATTTATCAATATCTAGAGAGAAGGCAAGGTTTTAGAGAGAGAGGCTCTCAAATGGCTTTTTCGGAAAAGTAAGAGAGAGAAAGGATGAGAAAAAGTTATTTAAAACTGCCTCACAGCCAACTGATATACGACATTCCCGCTCGAGCGGAAAACATAACGCTCGAGCGTCAAGAACAAAAACTAGGTCCGCTCGAGCGCCAAGACACAAGAATAAAGTAAACCCGCTCGATCGCGAAAACCAGTCCACTCGAGCGTAAATTTCCTGCTCTCAGAACTTACACCCAAAGGTACTACCTGCTTGAGCGCCAAAGTACCCGCTTGAGCGCCACCGCTCGAGCGTAGAAAAACCCGCTCGAGCGTTAAAATCACACCTGCAGAAGTTTTGCAGGGACACGAAAATACTGGGGTTGTGCAATCCTCGCTCGAGCGCAAGAAGACCCGCTCGAGCGGAACGCCTAAAAACTGGGCAACAAGGAATTAAAACCAAGGCCTAACCAATCTGTAACAACCCTGCCCAAAACATCCTAAAACTCAATCAAGCGGAATTAAGGGACGACACAAGATAGATACAACTACCAGCCTCACGGAACCGAGTCCGGAATACAACAGAACAGCAAAGGGACAACTGAGATCGCTATAAACCGAATCGAGCCGGTCATATTTGGTTGGTTTTTTAATATAAATCGGTCTGTTCGGTTTTGGAAATTAATTTTTTTTGGTTTTCGATTCGGTACCGATTTTGATATACTATACACCGATTTGCACCGAAACCAACCAAATATATTTACATATAACATATATTAAATATATAATGAATAACACGGCCAATTTGGTTCTTAGATTATATTTTGTTTCTAATTCTAATTAAGTGAAAGCTTCAAGCCTTAGTATTTATTAATTTTTTTGTTTGTGTTTTTGTGAATGGTTGGATTAGATATGGTTAAAATTGTGTACAAATGGCTAATTTAATATTTTTATATAAATTATTTATTATACTACAAATAAAGGAAATGACTCAATTTTGAAAGTACTTAAACTAATTAAACCGCATTGAGCTGAACCGTTTGAATCGGTGCGGTTCAGTGCGGTTCGATAAAAAATTTGGTCTGTATTGGTTTTTAATATAATAAAACCGACATTATCAGTTTGGTGCAAAATTTCACCTAAATACCGACCGTTTCGAACCGATTACATCCCTACTAACTACAAAAAAAATTCAACCTTCTTGTCAAATACAAATATTTTAACCTACTAAAATAACTTACTAAAATAGCTAACTTTCCAAACGAAACCTATAGATAGCTTTGTTAACCAAATCTTTAAATTGTTTAGGATGGTTTGCATTTTTTTACTTTTTACAACAAGATATATAGAAAATTAGAGTAGTGATGTGATTAAAAAAAGATAAAAAATAAAAAAATAATGCACCCTCGTGTTAGATTTATTAATTTTTTATAAAAATTAAAAATAAAAATAGCTCAGTAGTTAAATAAGGGAAAATTGAATATAATTTTAAAATTTGAAATTAAATACGAATAACTTCTTACTTAATTTGATAAGTATATACTATAAAAATAAAATTATTTAAGTTTGATTTATTTTCGGCTCGTTAAAAATTTATTTAAGATCGACTCATTACATAAATAAACTAAACTTCAATCATTGTGTTTGGTTTCAATTTTCTGAATTCAATTTTTCAAAAATTGAGTTTTTTTATTTTTCATGTTTTTTTGTTTTTAGAAATTTTATAAAAAAAAATTAAGCACTTTTTAAAATTTTTTTAGATGCACCTTACTTAGTGTATCTAAAAAGTAAAATATTTGTAAAAAAAATATTTTAAAAATTCAATAAATACACTAGAATACAAAAAAATGTAGTGAATTTTCATAATTTTTTTTTATTTTTTATATTTATTGAATTTTTGAAAGATTTTTTTTACAAATATTATACATTTTAAGTGTATTTATATTAGGTGTATATAAAAATTTTAAAAAATTACTTACAATATTAAAAAAATTTAGTAAAAATAAAAAAAACGCGAAAAATAAAAAAAATTAATTTTTCTAAAAATTGAATCCTAAGTTAAGAAACCAAACAAACTGATTTTTGAATCTCATTCAATTTTT